GGTATCCTCTAAATTCAGAGGATGTATCATTTTTCTTAAAAAATGACCGCATTCACACTCAAGGGCATTTCAATCTTTTTACACGTGTGTGACCATTTCATATTTGCTTTGGATGCTATATTGCTTCACTGAGATCAGAAATTCAATTTGTTAGTATACTCACTGCATTACATTTTTCTAAGAAATGTGACAAGTGTCATTCATATGGGCATTTTGATCCTTCTGTGTATATTATGCACATGACTGACATGTGCATTATGGTTCTTTTAAGAGAAAGCTGATGAACCATATTTCATTTCTTTGGAACCAAATTTACAATTCTTCTTTCCACAGCTGTTGTGAGTGTATATGAAATGCAAAATATGTGCGTGCACTAGTATACAAAAATAATGAGCTGGGCAAAGACATTGTGGTCCTTTCACACAAGGAATATCAAAATATACCCTCACCAATGATTAGGGCTGCAAATAAACCAAGCTGTTCATGAACAGCTCGGGCTTGGCTCGTTCCAGGCTCAGCTTAGGTTCGGCTTGCTAGTAAATGAGCTGAAACCGAGCCCAATTTTTAGGTTTGTTTACTAAACAAGCCAAGCCCGAACAACATTAGGATCGGCTCATAAAAGCTTGTGAATAGGGGCTCAGCAAGGCTCGTTGAGGCTCGTGAACAAGGCTCGAGCTCGGCTCGCAATATATATATAAATATAAATATATATATATATATATATATATATATAATATAATATAATATAATATATAATAAGTGACACCTTAAAAAACATAACTTAGCTTAGCTCGAACCCAAGACTTGGGCATGAAAGAATATAACTCCTAACACTCCTACCAGGCTACCACTAATCCACTTTGTGTCTTCAAAGTACAATATTGATTAATATATACTAATATACATATACTAAATAGATTATCAAAGACAATTTTAACAGAATCAATAATTATTCTACAATTTTTTTAAGCATTATCGGTAGAAATGATAATTATTTTAAATTAATAATTAACATATTAAAAGCTAAATACCACAAGAATAATATCAAACAAACTAATATTGGAGAATCATCATCATGTTGATCTAAAGCTAAACATCACAATTTTGTTTTTATTATAAAATATATTTCTTAGTTTCTTTTTATAACTTTAATTGGGTTAAATAGTAGAAGTAGGGTCCAACAAATTGCTGTCCTCGCCGTTCTCTGTCATCGCTGTCTACTGTCCTCGCCAGGTTTTTTATAATTACAACGATGGTATTTGAAACTTTTTAGCATTGATTTATTATAATTACAATGATGGAGCATGAAATCATTGATTTTTTATAATTAGGTATTTGAAAGTTTTTAGCATTGATTTGTTATGGAGCATGAAATCATTGATTTTTTATAATTACAATGATGGTATCTAAAAGTTTTTAGCATTGATTTATTATAATTACAATGATGGAGCATGAATTCATTGATTTTTTTGTGGAATATTAATTAATTTTGAGAAGAAACTTTTTTTTTAAAAAAATTTCATTAGCCGAGCCCGAGCTTTTAAAATTAAGACTAGCCCGAGCCCGAGCTCGATTTTCTAAGCTCGTCATGAGCTGAGCCCGAGCCCGAGCAGACCCTGTAAACAAACGAGCCGAGCCCGAGCAGACCCAAGCTCGGCTCGGCTCGGCTCGGTTCATTTGCAGCCCTATCAATGATTGGTGGAATGTGTCACATTTCTTTTCTCATTAGGGAAAGATTTCATCTCATTGTACTAGTACTATATATACAATGTTATAGTTATAGCAGTTATGTGTCTCTTTTGTGAAAGTCGAGAGCCCTGATGGAAATGCATTGGGTATAACTCTCGAAACATTCAAGAACATGATAATAATTGAGTGTTTGATTAAGTAAGAGGCTCTCAGAATTATATATATTGAGTGTACACAATTGAAGATAAAAAACAAGGCATTTTGTGTGTAGATTTTCTGGTGTAAGAAGCTGGTGCAAAGGCTTAATACTGGTGTGAGGCATCATAGGGGTTCTTGAAGGCTGATATATATATTTTTTGTCAATGCACAACTGTAGAAACCAGGTTTACTCTCATATTCTCAACGTTCAAATATGTTTTGATTTTCTGGTTTATGCTTCCAATCTAAGTTATATATATTGATATCTTGCTATGAACTCCATGAACAACATTTAAGCAAGTTTGTTTAGATGATTTGAGGTTATTCAGGTTGAGTTTTCAAACTAGAAATGGTCATTTCGGATTTGTCCTTCTATACCTTGACAGTTAGGGTTTTCTACAGAAACCAAGCCTATTTGAGTACTATCTTTTTTATACCTTGTTATTCCCATTGTGTTTATTATTTGAGCAAGTGTATATTGTTGATATAAGGTTGTGGGAACCAAGCTCAAGTCTGTATTGAGTGCATTCCAATTTTACCCTTCAGACCACATATGCTGCAAAAACTTGTAAAATACTTGTACTGATATATACGTTGAGCTATATACTCACTCTAATCTTGTGTAATAGCCTTAGTATTTTGTTGTACAAATTCTATTATGTATTTGATGAGCTGCGAGAGTTTATTTGGTCCAAGTAGGGTTGCTTAGGACAGAGGGAATGTTGTGTGTACATTGTGTGAGTTAGGGTGTGTGCAGAGTGTGTATCAACTTGCATTACAATTAGTGGATTTTGCATTGGGTATGCATGTACCCAATAACCAAGGTTTTTGATCCCTACTGAGGGGGTTTTCCTTGTAAAAATCTGGTGTACTAGTGGTTGTGGTTTTGTGTAAAACACTTGTGATGGATTAGGGTTTTAAAACCCTAGCTAGTGATATCTGTTAGCACTCTTTAAAAGTCGTGGTGGTTATCTTAGTTGAGAAAAGTGTTTAAAACCCTAAAAGAAAGTGGAAGAACCAATTCACCCCTTCCCCCTCTTAGTTCATTACATATATAACTTATAAAATTCTATGAATGCATCCCCTTAAAATATTTTTTTCCCTAAAAATTAATCTATTTTTTTTTTTTTTTTACCCTTTTCATCCGTACTCTATATTTCCATTTTCTTTGTTTTCCTGTTTTCTTTTTAAATTTTTTTCTCCTTCTTGCACTCATGTATAGGGATGGCAATTTGCCCCGCCCCGTTTTTAGCGGCTTTGGGGGACCGTTTTGCTTGTTTAGGCGTGAATGGTTTGATATATTCAAAATCTGTGCGGGTTCAGTGTGGGAACGAGGGGAGGTTGCCCCACCCGTTTATATAGGTAAATTACTTAAGTACCCTCATTTTATTAGTATATATATTTCACATTAATACCCTTCTTTCATTAGTATATATATTTCATCAGTATATATATATATATATATTGAGACAGTTTGTTTTGCAACAAAATCTGAAAATCTAGAACAAGTAGCTTACGCGACCATTTAGAATGCTTTTAATGTTGAATTTTATGTTAAACTATTTATTGTCCATATTTTTTTTTATGAATCTTTTCAATAATTATATAATTTTAGTTGATAAAAAAAATTAAATGGAGGAGAATTTTTTGTCTTTAACAGGGCGGGCTGGGTACCCGCGGGGGTAAAGATGTTAAACAGGGGTGGGAATGGGGTGGAAAGTCCTCTCGTTATTGCAGTCTTGGGCGGAGACGAGGGTGGGGTTTTTAAACGGTTGTGGGGGCGTGGGAGGGTACACCCGCCCAAACCTGTCCTGTTGCCATCCCAACTCATGTATGACATATGTGCAACCTTCTTTTCTCTCCATTTGTTCTCCTATCCTATAAATTTAATACTGAAATATTGTATACTTAAAGCTTCTTTTGGCAATCATGTTTATTTATTTATTATTATTATTATTTTTTTTTGACAAATTTGTAACACTTTGAACAATGATGCCAATGTTCTTAGGAAAGACCCAAATATGTAATAAAAAATAAATTATTTTCTCTTGTTTTTGTTATTGTAGCTAAACAATGGTAATAAGATTTTATTTTATTTTATATTTTTTTAAAAACACCAATATAGGTTGCCAAAAGAACCCTCAATGTCCACAATTTATATTTCTAATTTTTTTTTTTTTTACAACAATATTTTTTGAATTGTTACATACCATATGGATTTTAATTAATACATCATTAATTATTACAGTCTATCTTTCGACTTGTTGTTTTATTTCACCAATAATTCATTTTTGTTTTTTTTATCATGCCTAATAGCTAGCTAGACTAATGTTTCGCATATGAACTCAACCTGATGCTCTTATGTAAGTAATTAGTTACATGCATATATAGGCCTTGGCATCCATATCACAGATTCTATAAGTTCATGTTGAATTAATGATCACACATTTAGAATCCAAAATATTAATCATATCATCATGATCATCAATCCATATCGGATGGTGATTGGTTGTGCATCCCATGGTAAGACGTCCAAAAATAATGTAAGCAATCCTACTTGTAACTGAGAATAAAACAATAGATACCATGTTGATTATTGCATCAATGAACATTAGATAAGTGAGAATCCATCATCATTCATGTACGCCCATAACTGCAAAAATAGAAAATTAAATTGACAGCAAATTCTAGTGAGGTACTAGCTTGAAACTGCCACCCATTATGGACAATACAACTTCAGAAAAATCCATGACCACCATATTCAAAACTCCCCGAGTACTTGAGTAGTAGTATTTTTTTCTTCTTTTCAGAGCAAGATGAGGATGTAAGGGTCGAACATAGACTCCAAATTTAGGACATTAACAAACCAACCACTCAAATAATACGATACTTGCACTTGAGTAGTACTACCTGAAATGATATGGCTCAAATCATTAGGTTTTTTCTCAAAAGGAACAACGGATCCAGAACTATTCTTTGCAAAAAAAGACGAACCATTTCTGGAGTCCTCCATGAAGTCCCGAAGCTGTTCAAGCTCTAGCAATCTAAGCTTATCAATTGGGGCTTCCCACCAGCATCGGCTTTGGCTAGCTTTCCTCATCCGATCAAGGTGCTTCACCGGTTTTTCTCTTAGCTTCTAACTCATTCTGAAGTCGAGTGAGGTGTGAATTGAGTCCACGAATGCTGGCATCGTGATGAGCCTCAAGGAGATCAGGGCTCGCCTAGGTCCTCAACATTTAGAGGGCCTCAAGATCTTTAGCCCATTAGTGATATGTTCAAAAAAAAAAAAAAAAAAAAAAAAAAACTAAGAACCCTTTAATTAAACGAATTCACAACCCATTCAAAATTAGGTCCTTAAAAATTTGGTAGTTAAATTCGAAATGAATATGGCCCTTTACTACGTTATGTGTATGTTAATGTGTATTTCAGTAATTAAAGGGCCTCACATTTAAGTTTGCCTAGGACCTCTCAAGATTTTGTCAATCTTAGGACCGGCCCTAAAGGTGAAGTTCGGTGGAGAGTCTCGAGTGATGAAACGATCCACCATCACCTCAACATCAGGGTGTCCGAAAGAGAAAATTATACTTGCAGCCTCTACACCACAAAGACTGCAAAGCTCACTTGCTTTCTTGAAAAGCCCTGATTGGCATTTTAAGAACGTGACATACAAATAATTTTTGATCTCTATTTTCACTATTTTGATCTTTTGGCGACCTACGCTAGGCTTCTTTTCTTTTCTTGTTTTTTTGGATGGTAGGTGAAAGTACAAAGAATTTCCCCCAATTTCAGAGAGAGAATTTCTTCACTCCCAATGCTTTCTAACCTCTTTTCCCTCTCGATTTCCCTTATTTATAGACGGTTACAACCTCCTCTGGCCTGGGCCATATCTGCTCCCTTTTGCCTGAACTTAACTTTTCTTATTTTAATATGGGCTTCTGTAATGACTTTATGGACTTGGGCCCATCTCGTGCAAACTTGCTCTATCCTGTTTGTCCATACCCGACCCGTCCTTCGCAATACGGATCATACCAAGCCCGGGTCATTTTGGTGCCCTCATCTGCCCCTAATAATCTCTCTCCTCATTAATGAGGGTGAGATTATTGAAAAGACACGATCTTTGTCTGACGGCTCGGAGCAATGACACGAGGAATCGAACGGTTGGCACAAAAACCCAAGCTTCAAGATCTGCAGCGCCACTTTTTACCTCGACCTTTTGAGTTCCATGTTGCCTTTACTTTTTCTCTTTATAAATTCCGGTCTTTCAACCTTCACCTTTCTTCTTATATCTCGCTTCTACTCTTTGTTGCCTTCCTACACATTCCGGCGATCCTTTTCAATTTCTCCGGCGAGTCTTTCCTTTTCGATTTTTAGCTACTGTGCCGTTGCTGCGTTCATCACAAACTTTCAAGGTCAGTTTTTTTTTTAAAATCTCTCCTTAAAAAGACGCCTTTACTGCCTAGGACTCTTCCCCTTCTCTATGGCTCCCCCTAACCTGAACGCCATTCGATCCAAGAATTACATTCCTCACGACGTTTCTCTCAGAGTCTATCCAATAAACTTGGACGGGAGATCTGGTGAGGTCTCCTTCCTGGGGAAGTTTTATTCTCCGCCGTTCACTTGAACGTCATTAGGCTCCCCCTACACCCATTTTTTTGTTATGCTTTCAACAAATTGGGGCTCTGCCCCCTACAAGTTAACCCAAACTTTCTTAGGGTAATTTCAGTCCTCATACTCTTGAATCGTGACAGGGGTCTCAATCTTGACATTATTGACCTTCTCCTCTGCTATCGGATTAATAAGATTTCACAAAATGATTTGTACTATCACTTCTTCCTTATTGACAAACGGTCGATCTGCACTGATAAGAACTCATTTGAAAAAGGTTGGAGACGAAATTTAATCGTGGTTGGTGGGAATTGGCAGACTCCGCTCGGCCAATCCTTCTCTATCCCTTCTTCCTTTGGAGCATGTTCTGTATCTGGCTACAAAAAGCTGAAAACACATCCTACTGAATGCCACTGCGAAAGTTGTCTTCCCCGTTTTTGCACTTTTCTTTGTAGATGCCTTCAAATTCCCCATGATGAACTGGTTTATAGTGTCTGCAGGGCTAGGCTAGACACCTTGCAAGAAAGTGTGCTGAACAAAGTCCCTTCAGCTACTGATTTGCTTACATCTGACAATCTTTCTGACATCTCTCTTTTAGGGTCTACAATGGAGAACATTCAGATCCCATCGTTCAGCAGGAGGAGGCGTCCTGCTCCCACCCCTTCTAACGCTCCTGCTATCACATCATCATCTACACCTACTTGCACATCGTCTTTCCTTGCTGTCTCTGCCCCAGAGCAAGTTGTGATTGTTCTAACTGTGATTCAAGTCACAAACCGTTCTGTTGATGCGCCTTTTGAGCTCACTCATGCTGAGATCCGTCCTGCTGTTCCCATCATTATGCCTTCCAACATCTCGTCTGATACTTCCTCGGAGAGCACTCAGGATGCTGGAAATTCTCAATACATTGGAGGGCCAGCTAATGCTGGTCTGTCAGAAAAAAGTTTAGGAAAAAGGCCAATGCCTGAGGGCGGTCATGATCAGAGTGATATCCCACCAGCCCGGAGGATCAGGACAGCTTCCTTCAGGGTTACTGAACCATTGCCCCCTGCCCGGTTCTTCATTCCTGAAAGCGAATCGGCCAGAACCTCTGGTCCGATTCCATCCATTCTTCCATGGCGACCTTTGCTCAGCCGTGAAGATGGATCAACCATTGGCCCCGCTGACTCAATATACAAGGACCCCCTCACCTCCTTTGCTTTCTACAAGGGTTTCTGGACCCCCAAGGACCTTGAGATTCAAAACAAGCTATCCTTTGGTAAGATGTTCCAGCGGTTCCCAGCTGCTGCTATGGAGGTGACTCTTCTTTTTATTGAAATACGTTTCTTTTCTGCTATGACTCTTTAGTAGCTAGTCTAACCTGAATTTCTTTTTCTTCATGCAGGCTTTATTCGGGATGTTCACTTTTCAAAAGACTATTGAAACTCTGAACAAAAAGCTTAAATCCCTCTATGTGGGCCTTAAAAGGTCTATTGAAGTAGAGAATCTCCTTGAGGCCAAAGTTGCTGAGCTGGAGTCTAAGCTGAGCGAATCAGAGAAGGGGGTTGCTGACTTAAAGGCAAAGAGGGACGGTCTGGCAAATGAGCGGGATTCCCTCAGAGCTGAACGGGATACCCTGAAGACCGAACGGGATTCTCTTCAGGATGAGGTTGATGTCTTGAAAACTGAGAAGAGTGTTGCTCTGACAGAAAGGGACTCTCTCAAAGCTAAAAAGGGAGACCTTCAGCGCTCATTCATTGCTGAACGGTTGTCTCATGCGAACTCATAGGAAAAGCTCTTAAACGAACGGTCTTCCTTGCTAAACATGATCGGCAAAGTCGAAGGGGGTATGAAAGCTCTCCTTGCTCGCTTCACCAGAACCAGTGCCATCCGGTATGCTGAAGGGTACAGAGACGGTTTTATTGACCATTCTCCCCCTGAAGGTGAATCAAGCTCTTGTGCTGGTCCAGATTAATTAGATGCTTCTCTGGATATCCACCCCCCAAATAATTATCAAAACCCACCCTGCAACCTGGCTGAGAATATTTTCATTGAGTGTATAGAGGTTGTATCCTCAGGAATTGTCCCACCCTTTTATCCCCTGAACATTCTTCCCCTTTCTACCATTGTGCCCTCTTCCTCAGTTGCTGCTGACAGACCTATGCCTGCTGAGGGAGTGATTCATCTTGACTCCCCTTCTAAGGATGATAGGGCAGCTGAGAATGGAGAAGACCTCAATGGTCCAGAGGATGATGGTGGGGAGAATGACAGGTTACAGCCTGGAGAAGATCATCAGAACTGACATCAAGTAGCAGTTTTTTTTTTTTTTTTTAATTTTCATGTATCGAGCTATGTACCTTGGGACCTTTTGGTAATGAATGACAATGCTTTTGCTCAATACGACTTCCATCCTTCAAGTTTTCTATTTTCAGCTTTGCAGTGTATTTTCACAAGTGCTTAACGTTCGGCCTTGTCACCATTATGTCTTTATCTTACTTGTTTTTGAGCAAGTGTTTGGCGTTCGACTTAAAGTGCCAGCTGCCACTAACTTTGCTGAATGTCTGGCGCTTGGCTTGAACGCCTCTTGCCACTTGGCTTTATTTTTATTTTTTGAGCAAGTGTTTGGCGTTCGGCTTTAAGTGCCAGCTGCCACTAACTTTGCTGAATGCCTGGCGCTCGGCTTGAACGCCTCTTGCCACTTAGCTTTATTTTTATTTTTTGAGCAAGTGTTTGGCGTTCGGCTTTTAGTGCAAGCTGCCACTAACTTTGCTGAATGCCTGGCGTTCGGCTTGAACGCCTCTTGCCACTTGCCTTTATTTTTATTTTTTGAGCAAGTGTTTGGCGTTCGGCTTTAAGTGCCAGCAGCCACTAACTTTGCTGAATGCCTGGTGCTTGGCTTGAACGCCTCTTGCCACTTGGGTTTATTTTTATTTTTTGAGCAAGTGTTTGGCATTCGGCTTTAAGTGCTAGCTGCCACTAACTTTGCTGAATGGGAAGAGTGTCAATTAATTTTTTGACAAAGAAGAGACTTTTTATAAAACTTGGGAATTTTGTACACTTGCAAGTATGCAATTTAAAGCGTGCGTATTGCTTGAAATTAAACTTTACTTCTACTAGTAGTACCTTTTTAGAGATGTAGCATTCCATGGCTTATTGACCATCCTTCTAGCCATAGTTTCTAGGACGTACACCCCCTTCCCTATGACCTCTGCTATTCTGTATGGACCTTCCCATGGGGAGAACATCTTTTTGACTATTCCCACCTTCCTTTTCAGAACCAGATCACCAAGAGCGAAGTCTCTGTGCCTCACCTTCTTGTTATGGCTATTCACAAGCGTATGTTGATAAGAGGCAAGCCTTACTGCAGCCGTATCCCTTTTTTCCTCTAGCAAATCGAGATTAAGCCTCAGCATTCTATCATTCTGCTCTTGATCCCACGCCAAGCTCCTTACAGTTGGAACCAAATGCTCGACTGGTATCACCGCCTTGGTGCCGTAGGCCATAGCGAATGGGCTCTCTCCAGTCGGCCGTCTTAGGGTTGTTCTGTAAGCCCACAAGACGTTCGGAAGCTCATCTAACCATTTTCCTTTTTCATTCTCTAGCTTTTTCTTAGTGCAAGCAAATATTGTCCTGTTTGTGATTTCGGCTTGACCATTAGCTTGGGGATGACTGACAGCTGCTAACTTCTGGTTGATTTCATATTCATCCAGCAGCTCTTTCACTTACTTGCTATTGAGGTTGGTTCCATTGTCCATCACGATTGACCTTGGTACGCCAAAACGACAGATAATATTATTCCAGATGAAACGTCTTACTTGAGTTTGGGTGACACTAGGGTACAGCTCTGCTTCTACCCTTTTGGTGAAGTAATCAGTTGCTAGCAGAACATACTTATTCTGTGATCTTGTAGTCAGCAAAAGGCCAACCACGTCCATCCCCCACTGCGCGAAAGGCCATGGGATGGCCATTTCGTGCAGGTCTTCAGGTGGTTGATGTATCAATGACCCGAACCTCTGGCATTTATCGCATCTTCTAGAGAATTCTTCTGCATCCCGTGCCATGTTTGGCTAGAAGTACGCCTGTGTCATTGCTTTGTGTGCTAAAGATCTTCCTCCTGAATAATTTCCGCATACTCCCTCATGAATGGTTCGCATAATCTGTCTAGCTTCTGTTGGGGTAGCACACTTCAAATATGGACCCGAGAAGGAGCGTCTATACAACTTATCATGCACAATGGCATACTTTGCCGCATTGGACCTAATTTTTCTTGCCTCGTCCTTCTGCTCGGGGAGTGCACCATTACGTATGAAAGCCATGATTGGATCAATCCAGCTCGGCTCATATGGTATAACATTAACATGTTGAGCGCTCGGATTAGGCAGCTCATCAAAAATGGAAGGTTGGATCAGTACGTCAACCGGGATGACCCTAGCCAAAGTCTCTCCAGAACTGGATGCACTACAAGCTAAGCGGTCAGCATTTTCGTTATACTCTCTCGACAATTGGATAAACCTGATCTGATCAAAGCCTTTCGCCTCACGCAGAACCGCAGTTTGGTATGCTTCCATTGTCTTATCCTTGGCCCCATGTTCCCCATTGACTTGCCGAATGACTAGTTGTGAATCACTATAAGCAATCAG